GCTTGTGCTCGCGAGGCAAGCAAATTACACGCGTTGCCCCTGCAATAGGAATGTAAAAAGGGTCCAAGTCTGAGTATCAGGTCCAAATCTACAAAGCGCAAGGCCCAAGTTCAGATTTGACGAGAATAGCCAGGTATAGTTGTTCAGAAGACCTAAGGCAGCCCCAAAATGTCAAAACAATGCAGTTATGCCAATTCCTTTTGCTGATTATCAGCATTGACCAGAAGGAATCGGATGGCATCTATGAGAAGGAAGCATTGACTGGCTTGAAAAAGGTTAAGAACAATATTCCATTCCAATAACTTCAGGGGCGACGCAGTGAAAGCTGACAAATAAACAAAAAGGATCCAAAACCGGGGATCGTCGTGGGAGATAAGGACCTCGAGGTGACTTTCATGAAGTTCATCTATATGATAACCCTCTGGGAAATCTTGGACCTGGCACAAACGGCCTTTGGAGACATCTTCATCTCCACGTATGGAAAGATATCGTCCTCTCTGATCAAGAAGATTGGTGCACGATATGGTAGTGTACACTAGAGTACTCTACAGCTCCACAATAGAAAAGAGGACATAGAGAAGTTCCGACTGAAGAGAGACAGGAATATTGAATGAGCACGTAGATGGCGGAGGGGGGGCTGCTACGAACCACTCCGACCCCCTACGGAGTTCTGGTCCTCATAAAGGGCCTGACTTTGAAAAGAGCTCTTTAAAACGCTGCATTCGAACCAAATACGTCGCATGCATGTACAGTATATTCTCTGCGTTCTCTGAGTCTGGTTCTCATGAACCCTGCCTTTTCATCACAACGTCGGATGAGCATGCAACGAGCACGATAGGAATCGGATGTTAATCGGGTGTTGAGTATCCTGCATATTTACATCAAATTCATGTAAAAATACCAGTACCAAAATCCCTCCGCCCATAACTTCCAGACGCAACTTGTGCGTAGTATCGTGAAAACGGAGAAACGCCTGCAGCTCCGTACTCCTTCACTCGAATCGTTTCATCCACAAACGCTCTAGACTGTCAGACTGATATAAGAGAGAGGTCGAGCGGTGAGATCTGCTCGCTCGACCGCAACCCGTCAGTTCAATTGTCCCCGTCACGAGAGAAACGGCGAAGGCGGAACCTGCTTGGTGGTTCTGTCCGCTCAACCTCGATGGCGATCCTAACTCCCCGCATCGTAGGCTGCACATACATATTCCCGACGCAGAATCATTTTGCTCTTGCGTATTAGAGACAAGACTTTGGCATACAAAACTGAAAAGAATCGTGTGGACTCTAATGCACAAGGAAACACGACCTAAATTTGAATATTCACTTGTGCCGACATTACTGTGGACGAAAATGAAGCAGAAGTTAAACCCTACTTCTAGGTTCTCATCCTCATCTGCCAGGTAATGCAAATACAATCTGACTTCGGTATGAAAGAGAACGAATACTTTTAACTTTTCCTGGTGCACTACTTGCCTCTCCAAAAAAGAGATGGTTGTCAAATATTATTTTGAGGATCTCTTTTTACTTCAGAAGGAACGATTTCGTTGCCGCATTATTGAATGTGACAAGTAGAAAGCAGCTCTCCTCGTAAGAGGATTGAAAGAGCCAGCAGTGAATATCAAGGAATTCATCGCGAATTGATCCTTCCATGAAGCACTTTCGTGATAGAATTATCCGTCAGAGCTGCCTTTATGACATTCATCTGTTCGTCGTCGCCTTCTCACCTACTGTACTTCAAAATCAGTACACCCACTCTGCTCTTAGGAAAAATTTGCCTGCCTTCTAGGCAGCAGAGAGAGGGAGGCACTCCATTCCAAAAGGTCACCTTTTTGAAGGTGCTGCCTAATACTGCCTTTTCAGGAAACGATCGTTGAAAGGGTAGGTTCCGTGCAACACCCTCCATTTTTTCCTAATTGCAAATGGATTATTTGGAGTGAAGGTAGTGGGAATAGCTGGGAAGATGAACCTAGATTGGATCGTGCGAAACTGGAACAAAACAATCACCGACGAGGAAGTGCAATTCCTGATAGAGTACGTTAGGGGTTCTCAAACTGGGGGGCGCAGCAGGGCCTGGCCTTCGAATTTTTTTTCATTTCAAAATGGATTTCAACGAGCATTTTGAACAATTATGCAATATATCATATTATTTCTTTTGAAAAATTGTCGCATTCCTTCTCAGCCGAGTCGAAGAGTTCAAGGGAGCTTTAAGCAGAGTAATCGGACGTAGAAAGCTGAAGAGAGAGAGAGAGGAGAGGGCTCATTTGCCGCTCCTTTCCTGGAAAACAAGACCGATGCCTTTTTTTTGCCCCTTTTCTTTGAATATAAGACTAAATGGAAGAAATCCCCGAGCGCAGACCTAGGAATCCCATATTTCACATCCGGGTTCCCTTCCATCAGCTTTTCCCCAACCAGGGTCGCGACGCTCTCTCGCATTTCACTAGCCCGAGTAAATCTGCTTCAAGAAAGCTCTTTTTAGGCCTACATCGCAGTTTTGGATTGTGCGTCTGTGTTGTAACTTGAATGCTTAGTGAGGTGTTGGGCTTCATTTTTCTATGGAATAAATAATTGAAAAGACAATGAGGATCTCGCTGTCCATCGACGGGATCTTCGGGCAGTCCTTCCCAATGGAAATGTCGGGGGGGGGGGGAATATCTCGAAAACCTCAGGCAGCCCCAAAATGTCAACACAACAGTTCTCTGCCAGAATCTGATAATTCCGTTCTTATTTGCCTCACCTTGCCACTGAGATTTTTTGCGTTAGCTGCAATAAAGAGTAAATGTAGATGCCATATTGATACTGAAACTGAGCTGCGCTAAGCTAAAACTTCCAACATCAACTTCAGATAAGTTTAAGATTTGATAAGTTTTACACCCGGAAGCAGCCTTAATGTTCTACTTAAATTTCGTGATAGACCATCGGATTGTTCGCTGTGGCCCAGAACTCGAATTGCTGTGATACTTTATCTTCAAAACTTAAATCCATTTTATTAAGAAAACATTTCCTACAAGTGGGCTTCATTCAAAGAAGGCTGCAAGTTTGCGTCCAGGTACTGTTCTAAGAAGGAATGGGGACGCGAAGCAAAGTCAGGATCATTAAGGGGATGCATGCATGAGAAGTTTTGGAACTGTTGGAGTATGTAATGCGAGAATGATGATGTTTGCAGATATAGGAAGAAATGTTTAAACCATCTTATTCTAACCCTCAGAACCAGAACGGCAGAATGAACCCAGAACGACTCGCTTCGTGAAATTCAGTCTTTAAACGTCCTTTCTACACGATACTTGATACTTCTATCTGTACTTTTTGTCGATCGGCAGCATATCAATTTATTCTAGGAGGATTCCTCAGAAAGCCCTCACTGAATTCTTCCTGATCTTGAGCACGGCTCCTGAATACAATTGGATCATCGCATGCAAGAGTGACACTGAGCTGCTCTCTAGTTCTAAATTGAGACTTTTCTTCCTCCCGACAGCATATTCATTCCCTGAAGGAATGAAGATCAGAAACAAGAGATAGAATGCCTTGGGGATGATCGGTCAGTCATTCATCATAGTAGAAGAAGAGAAGGGCGGGGAAGAGAGCGGGTGAGGGAAAGAGAGAGAATAAAGCCAAAAAGATATCTCTGATATGGGGGAGAGAGAGAGAGAGAGAGAGAGTCTTGTGAGACCCCGAAAAATTGGGATCGGGAGATGAAATGAGCCGTATAGACGAGAGGGAAGAAAGAGAGGGAAGAATTCCCCCTCAGTCTTCATTCCACCCTATTCAACAAGACATCTTTCCCCCCCGGGATTCCTGCCAAGGAATCACCTTATTTTGTCGTGTCCCATGATTTGAAGAGAGAATCCCCAAAATGGTTCATCTTCGATCGCGTAAGATTGAAGACGGGGAAAAAAAGAAATCTTGAAATGCAGGCGTTTCTGGCATAACGATTCCTCTTTCCGACTTCCGTTCACATGCAGCCAGAAAAGCAGAGGAAATCCGATGGCCTATCCATCCTCCCATCTCATTGGATCGGCTGGGAAAATCGGGATGAGAGGAGAGGAGAGGACAGGGGAAGATAATCTTCTCCATGGGCCATGGACATGAACACGGACGAGTAGGGCCCATGGGATAGGCCTTACCATCACCCTTGATAACGTCCCCCCTTTCCCTTCCACCGATCGCTTTTCCCTTATTGCATAAGTCGGATATTTGATTCCAGATAATGCCTATTCATCAGGCTCTGTCATCAGCATTCATTATTCCCACATGGATAATAATATTTATAATAAAAAACAGGTGTGAATGGAGGAAATGGAGGTAATGAAGCTTTGACAACAGGGCGAAGAAGTAAAAATGAAGGGTGCGTGACGAGGAAAAAGGAAAGGAAGTGATGAAGAGTGGCCAGCTCATCAGAGAGCACAGCACGCATAGCCATGTCTCCGTGCCACGGGGAGACGAACTTGCATATTTCCCCATTCCCTGAGAACAAGACCAAGACAAAGTCTTGATGGGATCGGAGACGAAAGGAATTAGTGACGTCATCGGGGCGGGATGTCATTGAAGGGGAAGGGAGTGGATGTCTGGTCGGATAACCAGTGACCACTTTGATCCCGTGCCAACAAGAATCTTCACGCTTCCCGATCTCCTTTTCTTTCTACTTCTTTCTATTCCACTTCTTTCTTCGCCCCCTTTCTTTTTCTTCACTACATCCTTCCATTGCTCTGGTTATACCCCACGACTGCCCTAAGAGGTTCGTGTTCGATCCAGACGGTTGACCCATTATCTAATGACACCCACTCTACCTGACTAGGAGGATTCCCTTGGGACAGGATTAGTCATTAATTACGTTCGGACCTGCTCCTTCGAAGGAAGCCTGGATTCATCCCCTCCTGGTTCTTCTTGGGGTGGAATTTACATTATGAACAGTAAGCCCTGGTTTTATCAGGAAAACTTTGCTATGCAGGCAAGCAAGGAGATACCCCTTCTCTGTGTACTGAAATAAATAGAACTCGTTAATTAGCTCCGAGAGATTGAGTGTATTTGCGAAGAGGGGATTCCCTCGATCTCTATGGAAATTGCGATCCATGGTTGGTGTTCTTCACATGGAGAGAAATTGTACATGGGGAAAAAAGAAATCTCTTGGGATCGTGTCTGGGTGAAGTTATTTCCACTTCTGGGAGAGTGTACAGTGTCATGGTACTGGGAAGCGCGTGCACTCAGACGGTTTTCATTCCCCTTTCCTGTGCGTTTCAAGAATTCATGAAGTGAGCTGAACTTACCGTCATGAGAATCGTAGATGTAAATTATCTCCTGCCACCCGTAATATAGAATTACGTCGATGATAGCTCTGTGATATTCGGGTCGGATGCTCACTGCATAGTCCATGAGACCGGAAGATGGTGATATCACCTGAAGGAGGAAAGAACGAGGGAAAAAACGTTATTATATCCACGTATTTCGGAAGTAGCCATACTTTGCAAGTACAGCCAAACAGCGCAATGTGGCTCTTTCCGTTGTCTTGGCAAATCTGTACTGACGAGTCAACAATCACTCGTTCTTCATTTCTGGAATAAGGTTCCCACCATGCATCGGAACAGATGCGTTTCTACAACACCCTTAGATATCAGATACCTCCGCAAAGGCTTTTGGAAAAGGCTTTTTGTTCATATGGTGGATACACAGAAAACACGATGAAAAGCAAAGTCGTAATGGTACAGAGGAGACTAAACCATTCAAGGAGATGGATCGAGGTTCTTCGAATGAACTTCCTGAATGTCTCACAAGACTGCCGCCCAATGAGATTTATTTGGCATCCAAAAGCGGTGGGCAAACTTAGATACAAAGACGCAAAGACGTAGGAAATGGAGTATCAGGCCCAAACGCTTTCTTTACAAGGAAAATATTCAAGCGTCATGCAAACACGATGAGAAGGAAGGAAAAAGGAAGGAGGCCAAACCTTTTCAGGATACCAGGGAGTGATGAGAGGGACTTGAAAGGTGTTGCTATAGGAATGAATTGTGTCGAAAGAGTCCGGGTTCACAGCCCCTACGAGGGCATGCACGCCACTCGCGAACCTTTGGCACACTGTAAGCAAGCAGAGCGTTTCTTTTATCTAGGGCATAAGGACTGGAAATCGGGGAGAGCGAAATTAAAGGGATATGAGAGAGGAAGATCGAGAGAAGTGAAAGGGAAGAGGAAGGAGAAGATATTGTGGCGGACACGAGGAATGGATGGAGAGAATTGATGGCGACATTCGAGGTAATTGGATGATAATGCAGCCTGACTACACTCTTCCCCATCTCTCGAGCAATTGGCTCCCATCGATCCATTCATTGTCCATCATCTTTCTTTTCCTGTTTTCTGACGCCTTGACTCTGGTTCTATCTTCTAGTTCTACTTTCAAGTGTTCAGCGTTGCCCTCTCAGTTAAGACGGATGATCTTCCATTGAAAGACATGAACCATAGGCAGTGAACTGATAATTGCATATGGTGCGTCTCATAGAACTATGTAAAGTGATTTCCTTTAAATTAAATGATTTCTTGTAATAGGGATGTCACCGATGCACAGGGCAGATCAAGGGAATTCATTCCATTCTGTCATATGCTGCAAAGACTGTAAGTAGCGCATGGTTATTGCGATATGAAAAAGGCCACTAAAGGTCAAAGCAGGGGCAGTCAACAATCAACAATCTAACCTCTGAGGAAAAATGCCATCACCCAAAAGATACACCACATCAGATACTGTCTCATTTTCTTCTCGATAGCCTTCACGGCGTCTTGGAGAATCCAGGCGTGTCTAGGTGCAAGATCATATTCAGGGGAAAGTTTTTCTCCATGTTAATATGCAATTAATTGCTAGATACTTCTCTTCTGCTTTAGTAGAATTTGATGAAGAAAAACGTAATGCGACTCAATGTTTCATGCATCCTCGTTCTGACTCTTGGTATGTGTTTAAAAAATTCTACATGTCGATAGAGATCGCCTGGCAAATACATTTTTTCTTGCTTTTTTTTACCCATGTATTTCATATACATTAACATATGTATACATACCAGTATAGTGTTCGCTGCGGAAATATATGTCTGGATTGGCCAGAAACTACGTGAAATATATATTATATTCCTATAAGACGAGGGGGGGAAATTATTTCAGTATCAAGAGGATAGCCTTTGATATTCGAGCCAGAATATATACATTGAATCAATTTCTTGCTGAGAAGCCCTCATTGCTGGTCATTATATGCCAGTAATTCATCAATGTCAATTGCCATATCTCATTCATCCATGCAACAAAGTCAAAGACACGTATCCATGCTGTCATCTTTTTTTGTATCCCATCCATCAAGGTAGAGCCGAAGACGCTCTGATACCCTTCATGTTTTAGGTCATCATCTCTTCATGTTTTTCTTGGAAAAGACGCGAATAGGGAGGGAGAGAAAATGAGAAAAATAGTCGGTGGTGTGGTTTGATGTGTTGGCTGGGGGTTGTGGGGGGGTGGGGGGTAGGGGGTTTCAATTCCGGGCACGTGTGAGCAGTGAAAACCCCGGCTGTAAAGCCCGGACAGGCCATGCCAGGGCATGATATAAGTCTTATCCAGACCAAGCCTTCAATTTCGATTCAGATGAACGCCACACCACCCCGTCCTCTCTCTCTCTCTTCTTTTTCTTCCTTTTTCCCCTCTTCACAATTGATTCCCCTCAGACAATTTCCTCTCCGGGACCTCAAATAGCAAGAAAACAAAAGAGTCTACTTCAGTGTTCGCTTTCTCTCTTGGCTCGATTCCATTGCCAGTTAGCCTCTACCTCCTCTTCGTCATGGTACAAACCCCTTCCACAGCACGGGCCTCGCAGACTCATATAAACCCAATGAAGGGACGAGATCCTCGTTGACATAGTGACATATGAGAGAGCCGTAAAGCTTGGATAATAGATAGTAGGTCATGACTGAAGCAAATGTGGCGAAGCGAAATTCTCAATTTCCTCCTCCCTTCACCGTGAAGAGCGTGTGAGCCATCAAAGTTGGATTTATGACTGAAGTCATTACGGGAACTTTCCTTTCGGGGAGGAGGAACATGCCCTGTGTCATCTCATCTCGTTTCATCGTTCCTTATTGCCCTACCAGCCATACTTTTCGGGAGCTTCTGCTCTCCGTGCCGGCATTCTCCCATCAGCTCAACCTGATCCTTTTAAATTCCCATGACATGCAGTTCGCCAACACCCGCCGGCAACTTTGTTGTTTCTCATTCATTTTCCAATCCATCAAAAGCCTAGGGTATGAAGAGGCGTTCGACAAAAGCTCCAACCAAAAGCTTAAAGACGTTCTCCACGAACTGGACGAAAACCTTCCAACTGCTCTGGATCAAGATATAACGCTTGTCGTGGGGGGAGCGAAATTCTGTATGCATAAATGCACCCTCGTCTCCTCTTCGCCGTGTTGCCATACCATGTTTGTTCCAGGGTTGACAAAATATTACACCGACGAGATTCACATTGGAGGCTCAGAGGAGTTAGCCTTCGAAGTCATCTACCAGTACATGTAGGGACCATCTCTGAGGAAGAAATTCTGACCGTTTGCAAAGGGTCAAAAATATTCTCATGGATTATCTGGTAAATTTACTGGCTCCTCAACCAGGGGAACATTGTTGTTCTTAGATTTTCGGATATTCTGAAGCTGAAGCCACTGATATCTAATGCCATTATCAATTTACAAGGTAGATACCAAGACGTGAATATTGTAATTCTCGAGATGCCATAGCAATTCTTCAATGAGGTTTTTTATAGTGATGACCTCGAAAACCTACACGATCGAGAAATGAAGAAATGTTTGAAGCCAGAACTTTTGGATGGCCTCTGGCTCCCTCTCACTTCCAATCTCCTAATACAGGATGCTATTTCTATATATGAATCAATGAGCAAGGACGCGGTATTTTTCCGGATACTAATATACGTCAAATGCAGTGGCATCCCCTGTCTCATCCCCCTCTGTTCCCGTCGAAAAGAATCACACTCACTTCTCGCGCGAAATTAGATATGTGTGAGAACAACGGGCACCGGAAGGGGATCTACGTCAAGAGTTCCGAAAAAAGGAAATTGGTGAAAGTAGTACCACACCCTAATTTGTGCTCGCAGTGAATAGGTGAAGTTCCATGGTACCGCCAAGCTTACTAGAGGGTACCACTCTCCAACGCAGGGAAAAAGTTGAAAATGTCCTGTCCTGTTCATGTGGAATGCGACTGCTACTTCTCCCATTTTTCTCTACATCTGTGGGGACACGATCCTTATCGAAATAATGATGAGTCTCAAGATAGCATGCGAATTTGACGCCACGGACCCTTTCAAGTCAGAGAAGAGAATCAGCACTACCGCACTATTCTGCTAGAATTGTTCTCCATGTCTTAGGATGATGGGGACCGGGAATGCTGGAACGGTGTCGAAGCTTAGATCCTTGAATGAAAAGATAGATCTCCCTATGGCATTTTTCAAGAAGTAGGGCGTTCATGGGAAAACGTAGTCATGCACAATGAGACGATCTACGTCACAGGAAGCGGGACCGAGAAATGTAACGAGCCATATGAATGACAGAAGTTGCATTAATGGATGGATAAAGGAGGGTGGTATCTCGAAGATTCCATGACCTTCTTTCAGGGAATGGGAGTTTATTTTCATCGATACTCCTTCCATCGAGAAACAAACGAGGATCTCATTGTGGGAATCTTTCTGTTACCCTGGAAGCGAATATATCAGGGCTTGCCATTTGTCTAACTAGTCTCATACATGTCCTTGTGCCATAGCCAAAACGAGCTCTATGAGCAAATAGAGGCAAACTCCAATCAGAAACCGATTTTATCTAGTCTTCAGAATGTAAGGAGGGGCGCTTGCCCGATCTGCAGCCCCCAAGAATAGAGCGAAAGGCAGTTAGAGAGAGAAAGTGCTGCAAAAGCCAAGGATTTCCGCGGGGTTTTTAGCGGAGATGGATGAGCGTTAGATGGAAGGGAGACTCCTGATGAAAGCACCATAGGCTTAACAGGTGGTCTATCGGAACAGAGAGTGGACGGAGGAATAAATGGGATAGTCGGAATAATAGGTAATCCTTGGGTCCCCCTGGTATGAAAGGCTGCTTGGTATGCTGGCTTGGCCGCCCCCTATCGCAATGCACGCTGAGCAGGAGCCTCTAAATAAGATCAAGGCAGGAAATCTGATTTCGCCCTGTCCCTCCTCCTAAGCCAGGCTGAAAATAATCTTTTAGCCGGTCCATTAGTGACCATGCACAGTGCACTGCTATCACTCTGAGACTCCCAGATCCCCCACACTTCTGACTTGAATCCTAAATTCCCTTTTTCCTTCGTAGGACAGTCTTCTGTTTCTTCTGCCTGAATATATATCTACCATGACTCACCATCAGGTCCCCTAAAACCTATCCCTCCCCATATCCTATAACCATGAGCTCGCCAATTTATTTTTTAAATCTTCAAGGAGAGCAGCAAGCTATCAGTGCCAAAGATTCATTGCTGCAGACCTGGAGGTGGGTTCATAGAAGTTCATAGAAGGTGCTTCGGTGTTTTTGCGGGAAGATACATAATAAAACTTAAGTGCTTGTTTAAGGAAATGGGATTTAAATAAATAAAAACTTTATATTTTTCTCCTCTATTTCCTCGTTCTTTCCGACAAGGCGTCATATCGACGAATGAAGAATTACTGATGCGTTGGGAGGACAGCAAAGACAGTAGAAATGAGTGGTGTATATCTGTGCGGATGGAGAGAGGAAGGATGAGGACCCCTGTCGGGGAACGCATTCAGAGGAACAATGGCTTTCATGTCATCTACATCTCACCAAACCCAGACGGAAAGAAAGGAGAGAGGGAGGTCTCATATCATAATACATAGGACTATGAGTCTTGGTGAAAGGTCATGCTCCTCTACCACAGTCGTCCTTGTTGACCTACGTTCACCATCGCATGTGGGACAATTGAATATTAGTTAATCCACTGCAATTCGCCGTACCTGAAGGGTACCTGTGCACCAAATCAGACCAGACCAAGTCGAGCCATCATTCGTTCAACCAAAACTTAACGTATACTGTATAT